TGTCAGGCACAAGTGACAAATCTGTTTGTTCAGCAACATCATAACACTGAATGGTTGCTGAACAAATGTCGTAAGTTAAGGACTACCTGTACAGCCCAACATTTATTCTTGTTCATATTCAACTATCTTACATTTGGTTTAATTTATCGAGTTAACTGATGTATGCAAATAAAATCTATAATAATCATCTTTAAACTGGTTGCTTTACTCTCTAACACTTTCAACACTCTCTAACACTTACAAGTCTTCTGAACATCTTATTGGGCTGACTCAAAATTCAAGGGTATTAAAACGTGTAAAGGACAAAAAAGAGAAGTGGTTTGGTTATAGATTTTAACTTTTAAGTAGCAAATGGATTCAGAATAGATTTCTAATTTACAATGAATCAAAAGGGAAAAAACCCAACAACAATAGACTATAGCAAAAGTGGTGCAAATGTATCAGGCAGAAAATGAATAAACATTTAAGAAGATTTATTATTAGAAATTGCAATAAATTTTGAAAAGATGAATTGATTTATTTAAAAGGTATAACTGACAATTTATTGGGTAGGAAGATGCATTATTTTCCAATTGTTATCCACCTATAGTAAAACTGATTTGTGTCTCATTGTATTTTATGGAAAAGGAGAGAGCAACTTTCAGTGATTTAGATTAAATGTATTAATCATAACCAGACACTGTGAACTATATATCTACTATTAAGGAAGATTTTTGACATTTAATTCTGTAGTAATATTTTGACTCTGTACCTCTCTTCCTAAATCTAATTCCTGCTACAGTTGGCAGATTTCTTCCTCTAAATTTTATGAGACTTAAAGTAGTATTTTACCCATTCATGCGGTAAATAATGCAGGATTAGAAATATTTAGTGTTTTGTTTCTCTTTAAAGAGTAGAAATCCATCAAACCCAAAAGAGTTTCTGATTTCTTAAAATTGTAGTTTTAGCATAACCAATAATAGCTCAAATAAAATCCTTTTTAAAGAAAGACATTAATAAAAAGTATAGCTTTAAATTATATTCCTACACTTAAGAATTGAAAGTCATATATATGTATATTTATCTATTAACATACCAGAAATTTTTAAAAAATCACAATGCAGACTAATAACTACACAAACACATACAAACATTAATAAACAAATGTGTCTCTGTGTGTATAATCTGTAGTAGGTACAATGAGATTACATTACAAAGACATATGATGAATAAAGAAAAGCTAACTGTGCATGTGAACTGGCTTCTGTGTATGAAACAGCTTTCCTTTCTTTTAATATCCCATGTATGAAACAATTTTCTCTTTTTTCAACATGATCTATAACTAGAAAAATTAGGAAAATATGAATTATACTTCTTATCTCTTCATTTTCTTGCCTAAGAGTCATATTTTCTAGACTTCCATCAAGGTCTTTCTGGTATTATTCATCCCTAAATTAATTATTAGGAGGTTATCAATGAATTTGAAAAAAACCTGCATATGAACATTTGGAGAACATACCTCTTGAAATATATTAAGTAACATATTAAATAAGTTGAGAACTACTTGCAACAGATAATTCTCCACTTATGGCCACAACTGGGGCCAGAATTTAACTTGATAAGCAAGGTGGTTTTTAAACAAGTCATGCCCAATTTTATAACTTTTGCCATTTTGTTAAGTGACTCATATAAATATTAACCAAATCCGCTTCCCCGATTAATTCTGCTTGTCACAAGCTGGCTGAGAAGGTTGCAAATGGGGATCAAGTGACACTGCAACTGTCATAAATAGATGCCAGTTGCCAAGCAACCAAATTTTTATATGACTATGGGGACGCTCTGATGGTCATAAATGCAAGGACAGGTCATAAGTTGCTTTTTTCAGTGCTCTTGTAACTTTGAATGGCTGCTAAACAAATGGTTGCAACAGAAGGACTACCTGTAATGCAACCTCAGTTTCTCTCAGCAGGGCCTTAAGGACCATGATACATTTCTCCAATGTGATTATTGGGCTTCTTTCAGCCATGGAGGCCGGACTGTTTTCTGAAATTGGCTAGTTTATTCAGGCCGCTGTGGACTGTCTTCAGTAATGAGAGACTGATTCATATATCCTGTTCGACTTGCTTCTGAATCACAAACTTCCTCTCAATATTCTTGAGCGTTTATTTCCCTTCTCTGCCTCTCCTGAGTTTCATTTGTCCTTCCCAGGAACGTCCTAGTTTCTTTTGCATCTTTCATTATCAAAAAGTATTCTCAAAACTTTTCATCTTTTCTTCTAATAAAGACACAAGCCTACACATATGTTCATTTTATGGCTTACAATATTTTCTAACAGGTGATTTTCTATTAGGCAAAATAGAGATTCACTGTATAATATAGACCCTGTGGCAATGTTTTATCAATGTGTTTCTTAATAGAAAACAACATAAAATACTTCTTGAATGTTCCTTGTTTTCTCTCTATATATATCTATATCTATATCTATATCTATATATGTACACAGCATATTTCTGTCAGTTGAAACTTAATCACCTTTTTTACAATTTAGAGAAATATATATACATACATACATACATACATACATACATACATACATACATACATACATACATACAAATAATCCTTACAATAATCTGACAAAATTTTCAGAAGTTCTGTCTTCACAGTACAGGTAGCAGAAGCTGAGAAGCAGATTCACACAGTAGAAATAGTTAATGGCCGTCGCTCATGCAAATGAAGCCTGCCCCTCACACAAAACCATCCTCTCTTCCACCCTCCCCCTGTGTCAGGCCACCAACCCAGAAAGGTTGGGGAACGTTGTATTACAAGTACGTAATCTAATACATAATATGATTTCATCAAGCTGAACAGAAGTGTTTGGTCAGGTCTCTGTGTGCATTGCGATGTAGTTTATGATTTGGCCGTTTAGTCACATGAAACCTCATCAGAAAGTATGTCCTTTTCTCCTCCTCCCCACCCTTTCTCCTTTTCATAGGCACTGAGCAACTGTTCCTGTACAGGCTTTGCAAAGTCATCTGTGTTAAAAGTGAAAGAACAGGTTATCAGCTCAATTCCGTTCAAAGAGTTGCATTTGCAGTATCCTATTTAGCTCAGGGAATTAATCTTTCTAAAAGCACTTTTGCTTTCAGTGTAACAGTCTAATAGCGGTAATTACTTCTTGTTCAGCATTACCAGATGTCACAGGCATTAGATTCCTCCTTTTGTTATTGGTTTTCAGCATTTTTAAGATTGCTTTTGAACTTTCTTCACTGATAACTAATAACTTTATGTCTTCTGTTGTGACAGGTCAAATTTTCAAGGCAAATCTATTGGGTGTGTCTGGAATGGATTGTAGGAAGTATAGGCTACTTGTAATGTAGGAAATCAGCTATACTGAAGTTATTCTTTATCCTTCTTTAATCTGCATGAAGCAGCAATGTACATATTAATAATAATATAAGGCAAGCTTAATACATACGGGAAGAGAGATGGAATTTTTTATCAGAATAAAAATTATCCACAAAAATACTTTTCCTATCAAATTTACAAAGAAATCAGAATATTCGCATCAGTGTTATATTTCTAAAGTGAACAATAGTAATTTATTATACAAAATGTTGTGTAAAAAGCATAAAGTATCCAGTTTTCTGAAAATTATTTAATATATTTAATATTTGTATGCATCATATAAATATATATTTTGTAGCATGTATTTTCCAGGAAAAAGATAATATTTCGGCTATTAAAATCTTATATCAGAAAACAAATCTTAACTCTTCCCATTTATTTACATATACACAAACATTAATGTGTGTGTGTATATGTACACGGCATATTTCTGTCAGTTGAAACTTAATCACTTTTTTTACAATTTAGAGGAGAAATGCAGTTTTTAGTTTGGTTAAGTCATGTATCATCAATACCATGAACTTAATCTATCAGTTGTAATAGCATCTATAAAATACCAGAATGAGATTGCAATACGCCTAGAAAATGGGCTACAAATCCCAGATTTGCTCAAGCAAGCAGTGAACCAAAAATAAAAATACGGAGATCTCTAACCAGCAACTAGATACCATTCATCTGATTCATTACCTCTAAAGGCAAAGTTCACAGGCCAAGGTCTTAAAGTAGATTTAACCCAGAACTGCTACTCTTGCACAATGAAATCTAAAATTTCATTTAGTTAGCCAAACTAGTTTTCACAAATAGACTTTTTTATACTAGCACAATGTCATTTTTATCAAGCACATACATGTAAAAATCCAGGATATATTAATATTAGCCTATCATTTCAAATAAACTTGACAGGTTCAAGCTTTTTTTTCTGTTTTCAGCAGGATATCCTACAGCAAGATACTTTTTAATTTCCAGAACAAAAAATGATTTTATTCTGGATAATAAAGATGATTTAAATTAGGTTTCTCCAAATCTGTCTATAGAATTCGGTACATTGCATTCTAGTGATCAAACCTTAAACATTTCAGAGTAAAAGATACGTGGATTTTCTAGAATTAAGAGATAAGCAGGTCATCTATAACTATAGAATTACAAATATAAGGGACAGAAGTTTGAGACATTTGTTAATGATATACTAAATAAATAAATCTTCTCTATCACATTATCATTTAATCAGATCATCATTTAATATATCTCTACTTTGTGTACCATGGATTTGTACAGTTCTGAAAAAAGAGTCAACTGTTAGAAATGATGGGAGATTGAAATGTTATTGTAAGATCTATGAAGATTCTCAGTCATCCAAGTCATAGTTATCTTAAAGGTGCTTTTTCACTAGGCAAGTGAACTTTGTTTTCTTGAAGACATTTCACTTCTCATCCAATAAGTTTCCGGAATGAGAAGCAAAAACGTCTTCAAAAGAAAAACAAGAAAGTCTAGTTGCCTGGTGAAAATATAAGGTAATTGTTTTATATAATTGTTTGCACAGACAGTTGATACTGGCACATGGTTTAATTTAATAAGAAAATGTGGCTCACAATAAATTATGAGAACCAGCTCACCATTGCAGTTGTGTTTCCTGTTACCTTTTTGATGTTTCTTGCCGGCATTCCATGAAGATGACTAAGCCTTGTCTGGAAATCTAGAAATAAAATTATAGTTCGATTAATATATAGTAATGTATACTTATAAAGGGATAATCTAAGAAAATTAAGATTTTTTTCCTCATCTAAAATAGTTTAAAATTCTCTTTTGGTTTAACATTTATTATCCTTTGTGATGTATGAGAAAATTGCATATAAGTAATACAAAGACATAAAAGAAAATGTGCAATTATTATCTAGAGAAGACAATAATCTCCTTATTGTAGGCATTGCCTACAGTTGGACTTTCATCCTGCATATTGCACATGCTTTCCTAAATTCTATGATTATGAGTATAAATTAGTTATATAGAATTGCATGAAACATATTCAATTACATTTCCCTGCTAATAACTATATTGGCATCCTATATGATGACAAATATAAACTTTTCTTTATTTACATTTATCTGAAAATAAAATATGGCAAACCTCTACTCCAATTTTAACATGTTGCATTATCAGGCATGGATCAACATATACATGTTATGTGAAATTTACTTATACTATTAAATACTTAATCCTATCAGTGTTGGAATCATGCCAACATTGGAAACTTGATAATTATACACATTTATAAATCACTCTCTTAAAGGTAGTCCTATCATCTTCCAAGAGATGAATAACCATACAAGGCACAATTAGATTATTTACTGGACTGCAATCTTTCAAAAAAGCTATAAAAGGAAAAAAACCTGAAATAGTGTATTTGTAATGGATGGTACTATTTAGCAGTCTTTATTTTCTTTTAATAATTTTAAAAGGAATAAATGAAGATCTTTCGGATAATAACTAGGGATTTCTCCCTCAAACTCTTTCAAATTTTAAATATTCCATTTCAAGTTTGAAGTGCCTCGCTTCAATTGCATAATAGCTGTTTCAAGTGTAAAACAGCCTATCACTGGGAAATGTTTCAAGCTCAGTTACAAACTTGAAACAGAACTGCCTCAAACTTTATGCTCTTTTAAAATGAAGGGTTTTGAATTACACAATGGTCTGGAATAGAAACTGTGCATTTTCTTAATAATAGATCATCCTGAAACCAAGATGAATTGGCACAAAATATCAAAGAATCTCATAGCGCATTGAAAATTAATTTCACTGTGGACCATACTTCATTTTATCAGGTGGCATATTTGCTGGAACAGAGCAGCACTGCTACCTTCTTGGAAGATGGCTTCAATTATTACTTCAGAATGTAAACACATGACATTGTTGTTTAAAAACGGAAAACCAATTCCGGCTTTTTCCCAGTTACTACTTATGTATGTATCAATAACTTTAAAAAGCAAAAAGTTAGCTTTTACCAGACAACACAATGGGATAGGGATAGAGGAAAAGCTGAAATCTAGAATATTGAATAACATCTAGGAAAGTATTAGAGGCAGGATACAGAGTTGTAAGGGAGGACACAATCAGCCCAAACCATGTTCTTTTCTGTTCCATAAATTCCTGAACTTTTGACAATGAAACTCCAACCCCAGTTTGGATCCAAATACTTTTACAATATACAACAAAGGAAACTTTAGACTGGGATCAAAAAGAGGTAAGCTGATTGCAGACTTCAAATTCTATTAACAATGTTCAATTTAATATAACTCTAATTTCAAAACAGTCTTTTAAAAGTTACTGACCTCTCCTGCCTGAATGTGACATAAGTGGGAAGCTGCCTGCTAAAATACTTTCAAAGATGGGGTCAGGCATTTCTTTCTCCAGTCCTGTTGAATCTTCCTTTTCCCACCAAGGAATAATTCCAGTAATGCCACAGGCACCGCCAGGTTCACTTTCATGGAACCAGTCACTTTGCTCATCATCTCCTATAAGAAACATTTCACATGTTTTTCAAAAAGATATATTGAAGTTTGTTACCCCCCTCCCCAAATGTTTCAACTGTAATAAGAATTATTTCTTCTTTCTCTTCTATACAGATAGTCCTCAACTTACAACAATTCATTTAGTGACCATTCAAAGTTACATCACTGAAAAAAGCGACTTATGACCATTTTTCAAACTTATGACTGTTGCAGCATCCCTATAGTCATATGATCAGAATTCAAACAGTTGGCAACTGATTCATATTTATGACGGGTACAGTGTCCCAAAATCATGTGATAACCTTTTGCAACCTTCTGATAAAAAAAGTCAATGGGAAAGCCAGATTCATTTAACAACCGTGTTACTAACTTAACAATTGAAGTGATTCACTTAACAACTGTGACAAGAAAAATGGGGCAAAACTCACTTAACAAATATCTCGCTTAGCAACAGAAATTTTGGGCTCAATTGTGGTTGCAAGTCGAGGACTGCATGTATCGTATTTTCTTTGGCAGCAGAATTCTAATTGGAATTTCTCATTTACTAGCATGAGATTCAAAGGAAATAAAATTCTTTTTGTAGATCTAAGAAATAATTTAAAAACCTAATATTTTAATGATAACAGCAAGAATTCTATTTAACTTAGTGCAGTTTCAACATTAATAAAATGAACTATAATCCCATCTAGGGAATTTAAAAAAAGTATAAATTTGTGGAATCAGTTGTTTGCAGATTATGATATATAATTAGCTTAATTTTATGATTTGTGTGGTACATAAAAAGAGAAAACAATCATAAACAGGTGTGACCAAATAAACTTAATTTTATTAAGTTTAATTAAGAAATAAGTTTTGAAAAAGTTATTTTCAAATGAAAGATGACAGCTTCACAGAAATATTGAGCATCCAGGGTAATGGTTCATAGAAGTTAAAAATTCAGAAGAAAATCTCAAGTACGCCCTTCACAAAATTATCTGAAATGTTTACATCTTTGTTAGAGTGTCCTTAGGCTAGGCTTCATTTTCCATGTAGGGCCAATGGCTAGAGGGATAAACTGATAAAAAGGGTGGATGATGCCAGAGATGCCATCCTGGAACAGTATTCACTTGAAGCAAGGATTTGTTTTAGCTTGGCTGAAAGTTTTCAGAATCACCAAAAGGAATTAAGATCTGGATTGGACATATAATAAAGATTGTAGCTTTCCGTCTTTCAACAGCAATATGGGAACATTTGAAGTTACTCATCCCCTCAAAAGAAGTCATCCCATAGTCTGCCCGAGTACATCTGAGAAAGCACTTAATGACTCAGATGTAGCTTGATCAAAATCTCTTTTCTGAGATTTATATCCAGATTTGCTTTCATCTTTTGTTTGCTTTATTTATTTATTTTTTTAAAAAAGGTTCTTCACTTCTTCTCAGTGAACACAAACAAGGTGAAAAGTTAAACTGTAAAAGTTACCCTTCATATAAAAGAGATGCTACAACAATTCAGGCATTTTTGGACTCCAACACAATGGAGAGTCAGATAACCCAAAAGTTAGAACTGCGTAATGTAGTTTTCTCCCCAGAAGAAGAAAGGATGTAATTTTTGCCACTTCCAGTTTTTGCCTGCAATCTTGCCAGCCACATTCTCCTGAATTTGTTTTGAAAGCTTTAATGTACAAAATGGCAGTGGGGCAGAATTGAGTAAAATTGTATCTGACTGCTTTCACTGTTTCTGCTAATTAAATAATATATACTGATGCCAGGGGGCCACAGCCCTAACATTAGGAGGTCTGTGCCCAGATAAGGTACAGGCTGTGCACCCCATCCAGCCTGGCACCTAGCTAGTTGCTAATTAGCTAGACAAAGTTTCCTGGTACCTCACAAAACTTTGTGAAGAAACAACAGTAATCCTAAAATCTCAGTAACTATACACACACACATCACAGTAAGTCAGTACTAAACTTTCTGCCATGAAAATGCATTCAATGTTTCTTTTCCCTGCGCTTTACAATTTGTAATAGTTATTGGTAGAGAAATACTCTTGATCAACCAGAGAGCGAGAACTACCATCTTAAATAGTTCAGTGTGAAAAGAACACAAGTGAACTCCACCTTATGTCAGTCAGAGAATGAATAATATTTAATGTTCATTGATCACAACTAAATACAGAAATACCTATTTACTGCAACACAGTCTTAAATGTATTATCTTTGAGTAGGAATTAAATTAAATTAATTCTTTGGGACCATGAAACAATAAATAATTTAAAATGTGTAGGTCTCTTTAAATTAAGTTGTGATGAAGTAGAAGAGAACAATTGGACTAAAGTATACTTAATGAAATTATAATACTAAAACACAGTGATTGTATCAAGACTTCAGTTCCAATTCTGTTACCTAAATTTCAGCAACTAATAATATTTTAGTAATAGATCAGTGATGGCGAACCTTTTAAAGACCGAGTGCCCAAACTGCAACCCAAAACCCACTTATGCATCGTCGGGTGTCGGGTGGGTGTGGCCCATTGTCTGGGCGTGGCCCACTGTCTGGGCATGGCTGCGGCGGTAACGGCAGACTGGGTGGGACTAAAAAGTTTAATCAATAAATTCCAACTTTGCAAGATTTTTTTTTCCCACGAGAAGTTGAAATTGACTGATTGATTGAACCTTTTTTTTTTACACGGCGGTGGAGACCTAAAGTGAAAAGGTTTTATAAAACCCAGCTGAAGGCCTAGGACTGGGGCGACGGCGCGGGTGCCCACAGAGAGAGCTCTGAGTGCCGCCTATGGCACCCGTGCCATAGGTTCGCCACCACTGTAATGGATCATTGCCAGGACAACTCTGACATTTAAACTACTTGTTTATAACACCACAATAAATAATATCAGGAATTAGAAAACTATGTCTATAGTCTAGTAATACCAAATCAATCAAAATATTTACACTATGATGTTTTAGGCTTCATATAAAATTTTATCAGAAAGAATTCTATGTTGATTTTATAGGAACAGGATGAATGCTCAAACTCTAGAAATAATTTCATGTTTAAAACAAAAACGGGGAAAAAACACATACAAACCCCAACACACTGAATTTTCTATACAATGTTTTTAGTTAAACTAGGATACTGATTATCTGCTTATGTAGTATACAAAAACTTAACTGGATACATTTCTTAAAAATGTTTCAGTACCTTGTCTTCCCTCATCATTGGTAAACAAACCAGCATCACTACTGCTGAGGCTGCTGGATTCACTGTGACAATAGGGAAAAAGAAAAGATCAGAAATACAATTGATATCTCAGTCATAAAATTTTAAACAGGCAAGATTGCACTCAGATGAAACTTAAGCCTTAACAAAATCTAAAAGAAAATAGGATATTATTTTTTGAAAAAGAAAGATCAAACTGCAAATATCACTGTTCCATTAACTACAGAACATATTATTTTTGGCACATAAAACCACAGGAATCTAATGGGACTCTGACAGTAAGCCAGATGTGACTGCAAAGAGGTGCTGACACAATTGATGCATTTTATTATCTGCTTCCATCAAATGCTCACTGTTCCTTTCTTATATGTGCTATTCAGCTTGATCCTAAAATCATTGCTCACTTTAAAAAAAAGGAAGAAAAAGGGAAAAAAGGAGGGAATCTGAGTCAAAACTATTTCAGGTTTTTGTTACATGAAAAATAAGTATCCCACGTCAGAATAACTATTCCTAACATTTGGAAATATTATGACCCTACCTCATAAATGTTCATTGCAATTCTATTATTTAATTAAAAAAGAAGACCTTTTATAGAATGCTGTCTTTTAAATCAAAGTAAAAGGTCTCTCGAGAAATACAAGAAAAAATCAATATTACAAAAAACAAAACCAAAATACAATCCGGCTTTCTGCTACTTTCTAATTTCTGTTTCTCATACCATATTTTTTATATTCATTATCCAAATGCTTTACATGTGTCAGTAAAAAATGTAGAAAATTTTGTACAAATGTATAAATTCAGATTTAATATTATGAACATTTAATAGTGTAAAACAGCATCAGGGCCCAGAATGCAATCAATGTCCAAACATTTCAAATATTCTGCAGTAAGTAGTCCTGAGTTTTAAAACTTATCAAAATATCACTGTCAATGAATGACTGTTTCAAACAAATAATTCTTATTTTTCTAAAAGAGATAAAAAATTAAAATCCCACAATAATTTGAAATACACTTTTTATTTGTAATGTAATTATGACCAACAAAAGGGAGCCTTTAACATTTGCATTGAATTTTCAGTTCTGTTCAACTGAGATTAATTCCCATCTATTTATAAGTCCTAAAAAGAATAACTTTACTTCATCAATATGTTGATACTGTATCCACTAATTTAATACAATATAATCCTACATTTTAACTTTTTAACAGTTCTTAACTTTGCTGTTCATACTTCTTTTAAAATTATATCTGTGAACTGGGTTATTTCATAGATTTTAGCAATTTGATTATTTGGTTTTCTTTAAAGTGTGCTTTTAAACTTTTAAAACTGTATTGTACACAACTGGATACTTAGTTACCTCACATACCCAAATTGCAAAATAAATGCTGTGAGTTTCATGAATTCTGGTAAACATTTGGAAATTGTTGTTAATAATCCTAAAATTCACCTGTGTTCTGTAACATTCACCTCTCCATAAAGAGTTTCCTTAATTGTAAATTAGAAATTAGTATAGTCTAGGCCTGCAGGCAAGCAAGCGGCAATTATAACCAGGAAAGAATTCTGATCATATCTATAAGGGATTCAGCAATCATCCACTCATCACATCTAGCCAGAACTGAACTGCAATGCTGACTGCCATAATAAGGATTGGACTTAAAACCATCAAAAATTTCACAATGCCAGTTAGCTTAGTAAGTGTGTAATTGTGCAGTCACATGACTGCATTTTCCACAGCAACTGTTGGTTTTCTCTTTTGGTGCTAATTTATAATGTCCATAAGTAGTACCTTTGGTTTTTATATATGTTAAAAAATTATTTTCAATATTTCAGTGCATGAAGTGTCTTATCTAGGAGAGCTCTTATCAAAAGCAGAACAGGAACAATTTTGCCACGAAAACATCAAATTAGAAATATCCTTTATATATGCTTATGGAGGTTTTTAAATTAAGATTTTAAGGAAGCCCTTTCAAAATTCTTCCAATCGTTCTTTTAAGTTGGCAATTTTATTGTATACAAAAGTTAGGATATACCGAAAATTGCTTACAACCAGTCTACCTATTGATTCATTTACCTCTGTTAGTGCAGAGATTGATTTACTCTGGTTTTCAAGGTTTCAGACAGATCTTTTTTTCCAACCACTATTTAAGTAGTCAGGGATTGAAATGGCTTGCCAAGCACATGCTACACCTGTGAACTGCACCCTATTTCTAACCTGTTATGAGTTGTTAAATGTCTTTGTTTCCTATGCTAAAGGGAAGAGGAGGCAAATGTTTCAGTAAATAACTATTGTAGGATGAAAGTCATTGTACTAAAAGGGAAAAGCATTAGCAACAACATAGAGATAGTGTAATATACATAAATCACACTGGAAAAAGTATGATTTATATTACAGTTTATAAATGTCAACATATTGCCCCCCACAATTTGCGTCCTCATTTTACTGATCTTGGAAGAATGGAAGGCCGAGTCAACCTTGAGCCGGTCAGGATCGAACTCCTGGCTGTGGATAAAGTTAGCCTGCAGTACTGCATTCTAACCACTGTGCCACCATGGCTTTTACTTCCTTTACAGTCTTATCTTCTTTAGTTCTGCAGTTCTTCAGGTTACTATTAATATAGAGCAGTGTTTCTCAACCTTGACAATTTTTAAGGCATGTGGACTTCAACTCCCAGAATTCCACAGCCAGCATTGCTGGCTGTGGAATTCTGGGAGCTGAAGTCCACATGCCTTAAAATTGTCAAGGTTGAGAAACACTGATATAGAGAGAGCCACCACAATGTTTACTTTTCATCCTTATCCTGAAATCATTAGCTTACTGATATTCCAGTAAAGAGCCTTAGAAAGCAGGCTTCTTGCCAACTTGGCTCTTCCTAGGATAAAGATGGAAATTCATCAATAAAATGGCTGAGCCATATAGCTGGTTATTTAAATATAAACCCTGAGCTATCAAATACATAGAGAGAAAAGGAGAATCAAATATATAAAAATACCCTTGTTAATTTAGAACTTGCTATCAGCATAGAACAAGTGGAATTCTGGTTTGAAAAACACTGTGATGCATCTTCCAAGAACAGTTGTGGCAGTGACGGTGAAAAACAGAATATATTTTATTACAATATTTTCTAATGCTTGGTAAATTCTTTTTTAAACATGACATAGTTGGAAGTGGATAAAAGTATCCAGGACTGTGAGTTTAAAAGAAATGTAAACATCTACAATTAAGTATTTAAAAGGAAATAAACAATTGTATTCTGCCAACTTTATACATTTAAAACTTTTAATTAAAATTTGCAATATTTGCCCTTACTTCCTACTTTAACAGGAAGTAAAAAAAAATGAGTCACAGGAAAAAAAACCCAAGAAGGCTACATTTATTTTACTGAAATCCTCTGCATACTTGTTTGACAATAAGTACCACCGACCCCTGTAACTTACAAATTAGGCCAAATAGGATAGCATTGCACAGGAATCTTACCCATGTACTTTTTATGATGAAAAATTTAATGCAGAATGGCAAAAAGACTTTTTTTTTAAAAAATATTTCAACTTTGGCAGTATACTACGGAATCTTAAAGCAAAATATAATACTTTAACATAAGGACAGCACCACAATAATCTAAATTTTATAATTAAAAGAAAAGCTGAAAACAACCTGTCGCTCATGTTTTCATCTGAGCCTTTTTGCTCTTCATACTCCATTTTATCCTTGTTCACAGGATTGATTTCATCATTCTCTATGACCACGCCTTCATCCAAAATGTCTGGGCCTTGCCTATTTGCTGCAAGCTTTCTTTTTTTAACTTTACTCTTTGATAGTTCTTGATGGGAGCAAGATTTGTTGTCATTGTCCATTTCCTGGTCCTTAATATTGCCTTGTTGGGACAACATAATTTTGTTTGTTACTTCAGAAGGTAGATCAATTGCCATTCGTTTCACCTTTCGACGTCTACGCAGAGTCCTATTACCTACATTGTCAACAGCTAGATCGGGTTCATGCCACAGAGGTCTTTTGCCTCTTAGGTTATTTAAATTTGAATTTGGTCTGCGTTTTGCAACCATCACTTGGTCATCAGAATCACTGTGGTCTTTCTTATTAGCAGCATAGTTCTCTCTATAATCCTTGTTTGGCTCTTCAAGGCTGGAATCAGAACCTTCACTTAAACAATGTCCAGTCTCCCAGGGATGATGCGAATTAAACGAACGTCTTTTCCTTCCCCTTCTCTTTCGAGCCTGGCGTTTTAGAAGACATGAGATGCTGCGAGAATGATCACCCGTATCTGCAAAGCCACCTCTTGCTTGCTCTGAACTTTCTTCCAGTGCAGAGACTAGATCATGAACTAGCTCCTCCATAGTCTTACTAAAATGCCTGTAAATAGCAAAAAAAAAAAAAAAAAGCCATTTCTAGTTAATTAATATCTTATTATAGTGACTGTTTTAGAAAAGTGAAAGAACTACCCTCTAAGCTTTTTTTGCTCTAATCATTTACCTATCGGAAGGTAAGTAAAACAGAAATAATCACACACACCCCATCCCCATATCAGGCCTTTTATTCTTATGCAAAGCCCTACAAGAGCAAAGCACTATCTTGCCTTTGTCTGAGTCTCAGGGGAAAAAATATAATAAAGCATTATAAATTGTGAAAACTTTGCAAAATTTACTTGTCTTATTTTTCCTTTTTCAAGAACAAGAGACAGACAGACATCCACGTTTGTTGGGAAGTATATTTAGGAAAGGGAAGGGTTCAGTAAGTAGTCATAGATAACAAGAGAAAAAAAAATGTCTCCAGAATAAAATATCACAGAATAATTTTTATGATGCTTCATTTTTCCTTCACATAAAACTTAAACTTAACAAAACCATAACAAACAATAATGTTAATAGAGCTATTAAATAGATTTATCTATCCATTTAACTGGTAAGGTACCAGTTTAGCACAATGATTAATTAAAGAAACAAAACTTTGTATGCTATAATTTCATTTCCAATCTTATAGTGAAAATTAGAAAGGCATTCAAAACACAAAGACAGAGAACAGAATAGTTTAGTTTAGTTTTACTTTATTCTAAGAGATTATATAAAAAAGGTAATTTACATATTTGTTATTACTAATTTATAAAACAATTAATTTATTTGTTTGATTTATATCCTGCTTTTCCAGGATTGTAAAACAACTTTCATGGAAATGTCCTTTCATTTTAACCCCACAACATATGTTTACATAGTCATTCCATATATAGAGAGACCAATTACACTCAATTTAGTATTTCCTTAATCATAGAGTTTCACCATTTAAAATACATATTTTGCTCTCTGTTATCCATGTTGCTAAGCTGGACAAATGTTTTTTGTCAGCAATCGTAAACTGTTACTAATATTTAAACTAGCTAGTAATGTGTTTTTCAGACCACAAAAATCAATTACGTCTATATTTTACCCTCTGAATGATGTAATCCAAGAAAAAACACAAGAGAAATGAGATAGGGCTGCAGGATAGTTTTTTATAACATTCTTAATTATAATGAAAGAACAGTACAGTATAAAATAGATACGAGCATAAATAAACTGTGTAAATTTAGCTGAAACACCCTCTACTTACAGGTACCGCTTCTTATCCATGTAGTCTTTTTTTTCCAATCCTAATGTCTGCCCTACAGTTTGTGCATCATTTGAAAAAACTATGGTAAAGTCTGATATGTTCATGAGATAGGGCAATAAGTACTGTGAGTTATTCAATGTCATATTTTTGTTTCGAATTTGATCTCTGAAGATGGTTGCTGAGAAATCCCATTAAAATAATTTTATGATGGATGCAGGAAATAGACTGGCTTGCCTATCTCTTAAAAATGCAACTTGATGATTATTGATGATATTGCATCAGCTGAAAGAAAACTGTTACATGTTGAAGGATGAAAAGAAAGCTGAGTAAACTGTAACCAAAAATTCTGATCCTCCTGGCCTCTTTTAAGGCATTGAAAATCTGGCTTTGAGCCTGGGCCCAGAGGGTATATGAAGGGTCATGTTTCCTAGCTATATTGATATTTATGATGATTTTTTTTTGTGAAGGAGATGTTTGGTGTAGAAATATAAATAAAAATATTGAATTTATATTATACTGTAATTGTTTTAACTGTTTTATGATCATTCGCCACCAAAAGTCACTTACTTGTGATGGATGACTATAGAAACTGAATAAATAAATAAATAAAAACATGAAGTCATATAATCATCTAATGATTGTTCAATGTTCAGCATATTGTACTTTTACCCATTTATTTTACCCATGTCAAAAATGTAGCTTTATGCTTTAAGTTATACCTCATAAACTTCTCTCAAGGATTGTATATTTCATCTTTACTAGGCTTTACACCATAGAACTCCATGGAAATTCAGGATATATCATTATAAAAACGCAAGCAAAAATGTATTTTAAAATGTGTTTCAATTAAAGTCAGAGTCTTTTCATTTCTGGACTGTGTATTGTTTAAAAGAAAACAGTGAGGTAAAGCTATTATTCTATTTATAAAATAGAGAACTTTCTAACAAATTACTTGATAGAAAAACAAAGCACTCCTCTTTCCAATAATTACCTCTGGAAAGGAGGAGGTTTGTCTTAACGTTTGCTGAAAAAATGGTGTGGAAAATAAACAAAGGAGCAGGATACAAATGACTGCAAGCACTGCTGCTTAAAAAGTAGATACTTTTGAAGAAAAGTATGCATGCCTTGAATATTAGATTAAAAATAACTACTGCCTGGGAAAGGGTGTTTTTATGATACCTAAACGGAAGTTTGCTTTTTTTCTTTTTCTTTTCAGTTCAGTTAGGTCTTCTCATGCCCACAGATTCAGCTTTGATTTTCTGTAATTTTTTCCTTCTTCTATAGCTAATGTTGTATATTATATCCTTTTCCTTCTTCTATAGCTAATGTTGTATATTATATCCTTTTTCTTACGTTATTTCTGCTTGTAAGTGTACAAATGTTCTCTGTACGTGCATGTATTTGAATTTGTATGTATGACAGATGTTTAGTATACACAAATGGAAGATAAATTTATTTTTATTTGCTTCCCCCCCCCCCGAAGCAATTAAATTTTTACTGGTACCTTTTAATTCAATGTCTGATTTTTGTTCTCTCCTTTTTTGGATTCTGACATGTATATGCACACACATATAACAATGTCACATGTACACATTTATTAGGTAAGAGAATCCGCAGAAGAGGCCTCAGTCAGGCTTAGCAACCCTAGCCTAACAATATGTGGGAAGCTGAATTTGACACAGATTTTTGCCTCCAGTTTTACACAAAGATAAATATCCTATCTACTCCTGCTTTGGATGGGGGGGGGAGGAGACTGTCTTAAATTAAGTTATCTTCCTTTATAGTCAATGCAGCACTTTTGAGGTATGGTTTTAAATGGAACACATTTTACATAAGGTTTTACAGTTGGATGATGACAATTATTTATTAAATAAATGGGCAGCTTACAGTTAAAAAATAAAAAAATAAATAAAGAGAAAATTCTATTTGTCTGGACAACCATGTACCATGTACCAAAAAGCACAACAAATAAGTATTCCTCATGCACTCTATCCCCAAGGCCCAGGAGAAAACCTAAGTTCTTAAAGACTTCTGGACATCACCAATGTGAGAGCTACAGACAACTCTAGGGGGATCTCATTTCAGAGAGTAGATGCTTCTTGAGTCGTAATAGATGGCACTGTTTGATCAAGAGAGCCCAAAGCACACAAACGTAGCCCTATCTTACTGGACAGGCACCAGCCAAGGAAGATAAGCAGTCCCTCAAATAAGCTAGTCCTATGCCATGGTAGGTAATAAGCAATACCTTGAATTATGGCTGGTTGGTTTATATTAAAGTATGAAAGGCTAAAAAGTTCAGAGGAAAGGGGGAACATTGCAGAAATATTAGTTGGGATTGAAAAGTAGAAAGGTGGGTTTAGTTGTTTGGTCAGCTATAGGTATTAGGCTGGGCCCTTATACCTTACAAATCAGGAGGTTGTGACAGCTGTCATTCTTGTCCTTTGTTCTTATTATTTCCAGAAAAAATTACTACAATGTGCATTCCACCAGGGGCTGCCCTTGAAGGCTATCTGGAAATTACAATTGGGCAAAATGCAGTAATCTATACACTGACTAGTGTGAATTGATTCAGCAAAGTAAAATCGATATTGAAGGAATGCAGTACCTTGCAAAAGGTTTCAGAGTACAAGTCAAGGGACTGGTTTTAACCTATAAATCTCTATAGGGTATAAACTCAGAATATCTACAAGACTGTCTTCTTCAATTTGATATTGGCCAACCTGTTCATGAGAGGGTGCTACAGATTCCTTCAGTCTGGAAAATTAAATTGGTGAAGTTACAGAAGCAGTGCTTCTCCCGAACAATGCCACCTCTAAGATCAAGCTCGCATCTACTTTAATCAGCTACTTCAACTAGCCTTAAGGAGAATAATATATTCTTTGTTTGCCATCTGTTTGGTAGTGTGCTTATATATATCACTGATCTTTTTAATGGGTAGTTACAATGAGATTCTATGATTTTACTGCTTTATGACTTAGGTTTGTGAACCACCACTAATGTCCAGTTGTAGTCTATAAGTAATAGAAGATGAATAAATAAAAATAAGGAAGCACTTGCTATTTACAGTGGCACTTGAATGTTTGTGAACCCTGTTGAATTTTCAATGTTTCTGTATAAATATGACCTAAACAGTATTCTCTAAGCAAGTCCAAAACTAGATAAAAAGAATCCAATTAAACAAATAAGTAAAGAACATTATACTTGTTCATTTTGTTGAGAAAAACGATCCAATATTAGTTTGTGGCTGGCAAAAATAGAGAAACTTCTAGAATTGTCAGTTCATTTAAAGGAGAAATTAGAATCAAGTGGGATAATAATCAAGTCTGAGTGTGAAAGGTCCTGCCTTATTTAAAGTGTATTAATACAGGGATGTGGAAATGTGTCATGGCTTGAACAAAGGAGATTTCTGAGGGCCTCTGCCAAGCTGTTGTTCATTGTCTCTAGGCTGGAAATGGGTGCAAACTATTTCCAAAGGAGCAGTTGACCAATCAAGATCACACCAAGAATAAAGGATGGATTACTCTACCACAGTGTTTCTCAACCTTGACAATTTTAAAGCATGTGGACTTCAACTCCCAGAATTCCACAGCCAGCAATGCTGGCTGTGGAATTCTGGGAGTTGAAGTCCACATGCCTTAAAATTGTCAAGGTTGAGAAACACTGCTCTACCACGTTTCAAAGAAACTTAGGGTAATGTCTAATGAACCAAAGGCCTCTCTTGCATTGGCTGAATGTCAGTGTTATGCGAACACCATCTGGAGAACAATGAACAATGGTATGTGTGTGTATGGCAGGATTGCAAGGAGAAAAAAATTGCTGCCCCATCTACAGTTTATGAAAGACCATGCAGATAAGCCAGAAGCCTATTAAGAATATTCTGTGGATGGATGAGACCAAAATAGAACTTTCTGGTTTAATGAAAAGATAATATTTGGTGAAAGGCAAACACTCCATCCTGCATAAAAGCCTTATTCCATCTGTGAAATTTGATGGCAGTATCATGGTTCGAGCCTGCTTTGCTGTCTTTGGACCAGGATGGCTTGCCATCATTGATAGACTATGAATTCTGAATGGTAACAGAAAATTCTATAGTAAAGTGTCAGCCTACTCTGTTCATGGACATAAGCTTAAGAGAAAGCGGGTCATGCAGCTAGATGATCCAAAACAGACAAGTCATGCATTCAAAGGATGGTTAAAGGGGGAGAAAAGTAATGTTTTGGAATGGCCAAATAAAAGTCCTTCCTATAAAAGTGTTTTAGATCATATTTATGCAGAAATATTAAATTCAAAAAGATTCACAAACTTTAAAGCACCACTGTATTATAGAAGGTGTTCCATGAATGGAGGCCAGGGGTTATTATGCTCTGCCCATAAAATGAGTCAAGTTTATAACATGATTATTTAGATAGCACCATAACAACCTCCCTTTTATGAATCAATATTTTTTTCAATTATCTCACACTTTAACTGTGCTCTATATTCCCTACAATTTTTTCTCTAGCCTTATTTATGTGCAATTAAAGAAAATTGGCTTTTTAACCTGTACTATATGAAAACAAGCATTCTGGATCACTTATAGACATGTCAAAAAATTCTGTGCTATTCTTTTATCTGTCTACAGCATATATTTTATATAATTTGCTTTAACAGCAAAGAGTTACCAATTTCAGTACTTATCATATATTTTTTAATTATAAAATTGAATTTATCCTTATTTTTTCCTTGCCAGATTTGCAGTAGCTCCTATTCTTGTACTGTCACATAAATACATTATTAACCTCTTTGGATCCTTCTGAATTTCACCATGCATTCATGAAAAGTCAACAAGAAAGAGCCAGTTTGGTTCTAATGATTAGGGCAGCAGCCTAGTCCTATGAGTTGTAGTTCCACCTTAGGTATAAAAGCTGACTGGGCCAGTCACTCTTTTCAGTCCATGAAGTCAGGCCTGGGCCAGTTGGTCAATTCCTACCACAATCAATGTATGAACACTTGAAACAAACAAACAAACAAACAAACCCTGAATTTGCCAAAAATGCTAGGTAGAAAAAAAATCATGAATAGTCAACAGATGTGTTGGGATCTGCAGTAATATTTTTTTCTGATGTCACATTTGTTGATACTTTTATCATACTTCTGTTGTATAGTATTTCTGAAGGCACTGTATAAGTTTGCAAAGGAAAAACAAGTTTTGCCCTAGCTTTCTGGCTTTCCTTCTATACCAGTGTTTCTCAACCTTGACAATTTTAAGGCATGTGGACTTCAACTCCCAGAATTCCACAGCCAGCAATGCTGGCTGTGGAATTCTGGGAGTTGAAGTCCACATGCCTTAAAATTGTCAAGGTTGAGAAACACTGTTCTATACTTACATGCTGTGAGCATCTAAGACAACCTATAAAAAATAGAGCAAGAAAGAAGCAAATAATTCAGCTGCTAAAAATGACTTCATGGCCTAATTTTTGTTTTAAAGGATGTTTACTCTTGTAGCAAAAGAAGTGCTGGTTGGTTCCCAAAATACCATCCTGTTCATAGGTATACCTTCGACAGCAACCATACAAATCACACCTTAAATTCTGATCACTCCTACGTGGGTAATGTCTTCTGGTACCTAGCATGATCCAATCCAAGTAAATGCAGGACAGCCTCTTACAAGTTTGTAACAGAGGGAACTTCAGCAGATGCTCAAGCTAACCCTCCTTTTCCAAACCAAGGATTCAAACCAAGGAGAGCAACCCTTTCCCTTGCATTCTCATTCCCCCCCTCCACTTCAGAGAACATGCTAAAAGCCTTTAAACCTCAACCTTTCCCCCTTTTCCTTATGTTTGGAGATTCACACCTAGGTCGCCACCTTCTTCCACAAGAAGGTGAGTCTCATCCAGGAGACTTAAAGCAGTGGTTCTCAACCTTTTTAATGCCGCCACCCCAACCGGTCGTAAGTCGAGGACTAAACCAGTCGTAAGTCGAGGACTAAACAGGTTGTAAGTCGAGGACTAAACCGGTCGTAAGTCGAGGACTAAACCGATCGTAAGTCGAGGACTAAACCAGTCGTAAGTCGAGGACTAAACAGGTTGTAAGTCGAGGACTAAACCGATCGTAAGTCGAGGACTAAACCGATCGTAAGTCGAGGACTACCCAACCGGTCGTAAGTCGAGGACTTTCCCTGCCCGGGAGCGCCGCGCATGCGTGGTTCCGCCCCCTGCGCCGGCTGAGGCGTAGCTGGCAAGCGGCAGAGACGGAGCAGGCCGACCATCAGCTGGCCCAGCCCAAGGGAGGTAAGGCACCCACCGGAAAAGGGGGAAAAAATGGACAAAAAAAATGGCGGACAGCCTTGCTTGGCGACCCCCGTGAAATGGTCGATCGACCCCAAATGGGGTCCCAACCCACAGGTTGAGAACCACTGACTTAAAGGAAAACATCGAGAAATGATAAGCCGAGTCTCCATGGTGCAGCTGCTCTACTTGATTTTCGAAGAATAATCTACGCAAAGCTCGTAGGTCATGGCTCCGCTCCTTCGACGCCAACTCCACTCCCAGGGCAACCAGCCCGGTCGGACTTTAACACTTAAGGTCGCCCCTCTCCCTCCGCCCCAGGGCCAGCCGTTCCTCTGCCCCCGCTCGCGCCCCTGTTCCCCGCCCCTCACCAGCTCTTTCTGGCGGCCGGAGGTCTGCTCGGGTTGGGCTGAGCCACCCGGAACATGTACTCAGCGCCCGCAGTCGGCCGCTCCCTGAGGAGACAGGTGCCGCTTTGCAGAATTCGGGAAGGAGGAGGAGGAGGAAGAGGAGGAAGAAGAAGATGACGGTTGACCGGGCCGCGGAAAGGCTGCCGCACCTCTCACTCCTTCACGATGGTATCCCGGAAGCAGCTTCGGCGCTGGAAGGAAACCGGGCTCGACCATGACTGCTTCTCTGTAGGGACGGGAAACAACAGTGAGGGAGCTGTCTCCCCGTCGCTGCCACTTCGCCTAACTTATTACCCCCTTTCAGCCCGCGGACTTAAATCCGCAGCTTCTCTCTCCGTCTCTCTCTCTCTCTCTCTCTCTCTCTCTTTCTCTCCCAGCATAAGTTTGTATCCTTCTCCCCTCTCTGCAACTGGGCTCAGTTGGTACGATCCAGTTGCCATGACGAAAATTTGTATACCATCCCTGGGAGCCGGCTGGGAGGGGGGAAGATGGCCACTTTGGCCCGGCTGCAAGAGCGGCTACCGAGCTTCAAGGAGGAGTATTTCAGTAGAAACAGGTAACTCGGGCCTCCTTCCCGAGGCTCTTGTGTTATTCGTCCAGAAGCGATTCTCCTCCTCGTCCCTGAGATGATTCCAGGTTTGCGGGTGCTGCTTCTTCTTTTTTTTTTTCTGGCCAAGAAGTATCGAGAATTTCCACCCCACGAAGTCGAGTTCACACGTTCACACGTGTTGCCTGTGAATAAGTCATCGTGGTAACATAAGAGTAATAAGGAACGCAGGTGGAAAGAATAGGGAAGGGCGAGATTCTCATAAGAGTTGAAAGGGAATGGCGTTCATGTTGTGCAAAACTTCAGCTTGCAAATGGGTAATGATGCTTCCCCTCCCCCTGCTTCTAAAAGTGAAGTCTCCCCCAGAAGTATAGAGTGTGGCTTCTTCATTCCCATGACTGTTCACTCCACCAAATTCATCTTGGAGAAAAAGAGAAGACACCTACTTCTGCATTTGTCCATCATCTTTAGCATTAAAAAGAGTATCTTGGCTCTTTCTAGATGTCATGGGAATCTTGACACCTTTCAATAACAGGAGAAAGCAGTGTGTCTAAACAGTTCTTTAAGGAATAAAGTTGACAACAGCCTGAGGACACACAACTTGTTTGCCCTTGGTTAATCATATGAGGGGAGGGGAGAGTTGCATTGCAATCTGACAGAAGTTAACTCATTGACTGGGTTAGCAGAACATGCAAGGCTAAAATGTGATTGGCTAGTTTGTGGCTGAGATATGTTAGACTGCAGTTTCCATCGGAACTGCATGACCAGGATGGAAATGATGAAAGCTGTAACTATATTTGAAAAATATCTGATTGGGAAGAACCGCTTTTGAAATACCACTACTTCTCCAAATAGCTGACTTTGTGTGTAAAACTCTGAATTTTTAAAAAATTAATATGGTCATAGGAATAAATGTGAATATTGTCATAATCACACAGTAGATAAAGAGATAAAATTTGTCTTTTTTTTTGTTTAGTATGGGCAGCAAAGTGACCATGAATGGTTCAGAATTTATCTGGTGGTGTTCTTTGGCCCAACAAGGAGATCATATTACATTCATTTTGTATTACTGTTCTATTTACCAGTGCATTTCTAGATCCAGTTCAAAGTTTTGGTGATGATCTCTAAGCTACAAATGATTTGGGGCAGTGGTATGAATAATTATTGACTGATTATGTACCATGAAATCCTTGTCAACTCTTGGCGACCGCATAGATTTTCTTCATGGCAATCTCTCCTTAACCAAGTCTTTCAGTCTTCCAACTATGCCACAATCACCACTGTAATGGAGTCCATTGACCTTGCTGCTGGTTCTCCTCTTTTCTTCCCAACTTTCCCAGCAGTTGAGGCTCACTAGAGAGCTAGGTCTCTGCATAATAAGTACAAAATAGGATAATTTGTATCTTGAATGAGACCTTTGAGTTGATTTGTTCAATGATACTTTTGTTTGTTTTCTAGACTGTCCACAGTATTCTCAGGAGTCTTCTCCAACACCAAAGTTCAAAAGCATGCACATTCTTCCTATCTTGCTTCTTCAAAATGTAACTTTCACTTGCGTAGACTGTCATAGGGAATACCTTGGCTTGCACAATTCTATAGATATATATAGAGACATCACAGCACTTAAATATATTTTCTAAGGCATTCATGGCTGCTCTACCAAGTCCTAGTCTACCGCACATTTCTTGACTGCTAAATAAATATACTCATGATTTAAGAATTTTTTCAGAAGTCCTACTTCAATAAAATCAGTAGGGTTGTTTGGGACTAAATAGAGGATCTTTAGTGGCTTCTAATGTTTTAAATCCATATGTGACTGGCTACATATGTAACTGTTTGAAAGCACTTTTAAAAGAAACTTGCATTGTCTAACTTCTTTTTTAATATTTCAAATATTTTTCAATATATTTTTGAAATATCTATATTTATATATAAATATTTATATTTATTTGTATCCCATTTTTATTATTTTTACAAAAAAGCAGTGAACGTAGCCAACATATCTTCCTCCTCCTATTTTCCCCACAACAACAACCCTTTGAGTTGAGTTGGGCTGAGAGAGAATGACAGATCCCATATACTACTAAAACTCCATGTCTGATTGTTTGGTGCTTCATGGGACAAGAATTTTTGAATCAACATAAAAAAAAAGTGCAAAGAAGAGCAACAAAGATGACTAGGGGACTGGAGGCTAAAACATGTGAAGAATGGTTGGTTATGTCTAGTCTAATGAAAAGAAGGGCTAGGGGGTGACATGATAGTATTCCAGTGTTTAAGATGAAGGGGGACAACCATTTGTCTGAAAGGGTATAGAGTGTCCTGCTTTAGCAGGGGGTTGGACTAGAAGATGTCCAAGGTCCTTTCCAGCTTTGTTATTCTGTTATTCTGCTTCAGTCCTGCCACGGTGCCACAGTCAGCTTCGGTCATGTGATCATTTGCAATATTCCCTGCCAGCTTCCTACAAAGTCAGGGGGAAGCTAGCAGGAAGTTGAAAGTCACTCCCACTCCCACTCATCTGTGGTGATTCCATTTCTCTGTTTAACTAAGGAAATATTTCTGAAAAGATGACCCAACAGCCCGCAGTTGTCTAGTGGGTATATAAATATAAGATCCTAGGCCTTGTATTCTTCAGTGTTTTCTTAGGCAGAATATTTAGCAGATTCAAAGAAACAAAACAAAGTGGGATAGCTTGACTATTACAATTGTACAGGCTAAAAAGACAAAGACATACAGAGAATAAAAGAAAAAAGACAAAGGAGATTGGCCCCATCATTAGATAAAAACAGAATCCAATATACAAATGACATTCATAAAACTACCTGAACCATTGACTGAAAATAAGAACAGGAGGGGAAAATTAACACAATTTTAAACTATTTTATTCCCTTTATAATTAGCTTCCATGGCTACCACTGCTTTTGCTCTAATCTTCCTTGCTGCAACAACATCCAGTTCTGCTTGCTGAATTATATATACCAGTTAGACTGATATAACCGTAGATAAATAAATTGAATTCTTCATGCCAAGTATAATTTACAGATCAATACATAATGCATTAAATCTTTTGCCTCAGAATACACAGATAAATAAGGGTTTCATTGCAAGTTCCCCCTTGTACCTCTTATCCAGATATGATGAAGGCATTTATTTAAAGCAAGGGTCTAAAAAAACATGCCTCAAGTAGAAATCTGTCAAAGCCTGAAGATAGGCGGACTTTCTATGACAGATAGTCCTCATTTAATGACCATTTGTTCAGCTACTACTTGAAGTTATGGAGGCACTGAATAAATGATAATTACGCCCAATACCCAAAGTTATGGCCATGGCAGCACCCCACAGTCATGATCAAAATTTGGGTGCTTGGTAGTTTGCCCTCATTTACAAGTGCAGAGGCACTTCAACTCTCCCCACCTGCCCGTCTCCCCTGAACCTCTGTCCTTTGGGTTACTCCTGCACTCTATTCCTTCTGCTGGTCCTGCTGCCATGAGCTCCACTGTTCTTACTGCCCTGCTGCCTTTGCAGCTTCCAGTACTGATGAGGCAAGTTTAGCCTTGCCCTTCACTTTTGTAGTGCCTCCCCTCCTGGTCAGGTGATCAAAATGTAGATACTTGGCAGCCCATCCACACTTATGACCACAGGGGCACTTCAGTGCCCTCCACCCACCTTACCTCTCCCATCTTTGCCCTTTTGGCTGCCCTGTCCTTCACTGTCTCTGTTGTCCCTGCCAATCTGTGCTCCACTGGCCTTGCCACCCTAATTTCCAGTGGAACTGCTGTCGTGGGCTTCCAAAACCTTCCAAAGTGTTGTAAGAAGGCTGCACACAATTTGTACAAGGCTCACATTGCCTTGGGGGAAAAGCCTGGTGTGACCAGTCGCTGCCTCGTGAAAGGCCAGCCAGGCATGCCTCAGCAGCAGTGGGAAGTAAAAGAAAATGAAAGTCAGCTGGGGCTGATAGGGCAGCAGAGGCAACAGAAAAAATGGTGGCCAAAAGAGCAGAAATGGGGGCAGATAGGTGGGTGGGGAGAATTGAAAAGAAAGCAATTCCTTACCTTACTGAGGCTCAAGGCTTGGAGGAACTAAGCCAGGATTGACCTGGTTTGGGGTGGGTTCTTGCCTAATAATCACGCAGGATTCGGTTAGTGATGGCAATGGGAAGAGCTGGATTTGGGCCACCAAGAGATGAAGTCAAAAGGCATTAGACTTTATGACTACCTCATTTAGCAATAGAAATTCTGATCACAATTCCTGTCATTAACCAGGAATTAGATGTACACAATTTAGTCAAAACATTTTAGAAAATTCTGTGTTATAAATTGTGCATCAAATTGGAGAAAATCCACCAAGTGAAGCCACTTCCTCATTGTAGGGGAGGGAGTATTGCAAGTTATCTTGAGGACTACATGCAGTGGTCCTAAGAGTGGTAAAAAGGTATTAAATAAATAAAGGTACTTGATTTAATAAAAATAATACTACTTGCTTATTCTGATATTCAATATAAATGATCACAGTACAAATTATGAAAGTTAACTCTTGTGCTTTTAGGTGTTTAGATGAATACAGAAAAAGAGAATATTATGCTGCTGTAAAAATTCAGAGTTGGTTTCGAGGGTGCAAAGTCCGGGCATACATCAGGTAATTTAAGTTGTGCCTATAAACATTATAAATATGTTTACGTGAAAACTAATATACATGCCTACTTAGAGCAGAGATCACTCTTATTGAATTTCATGGATGTTATTTTCAGATGTATGTATAGAATAAAAGTTTTAATAAACTTTATGCCGCATAAATATGGAAATAAATATAATGATACTTTGAGGCTTACTTAATCTAACTTTCAGATTCAGGAACTACCTCCCGCTGAACTGTAGTTTTATTAACAATTTTTTAAACAATGATGCTTTGTTGAATGATTTTGTTCCTTTGAAAAGGATTGTGTAAAGATTGGTTTGGGAAACTTGAAAAAAGGAGACAATCAATAAAAGCCCAGCTTCTTTATTTGCAGGAATATTAAGCAGTCCTGTTAGGAATGTTAAGATTCAAACCTCAAAATTTCCTCTTTATTTCTACCTTTGCTGCTGTGTTTTTTTCTTGTCTAATTTCTAAATCCTTTTTTACATGAAAGGGGAAGTTTAGGTTTAATGTTCATTTTCTTACAAAATGTAGAAAAGGATTGCAATTTTTTTTCATGTTTGCTGCTCTTTGAAATTGGTTAACAGGAAAGAAGTATTGAAACCTATATATGGGGGGCTAGTACAAGAACAAGAACATTTGTTATATAATCAACAACCATTTTGTTGATTATATGACAAATTAATACTGAAAAGGTCATGTTTTAAACAGCATTAAGAATTATATTCAACATGCTATATTGAATGTAACTATCAAGAGAGTATCTCTCAAGATACACTATTCAGAATACAAATTGTTCTGAAACCGAAATTGATAAAATTGATACTGAAATTTCATATTCAGAAACTTAAAAGCTGTAAAAATCTCTTATTAATTTGCAGTATTATATCCTTACTAAAGTATTTTGTTTTAGGTATCTGAACAAGATGATGGTATTTATTCAGAAATGGTGGCGGGGTTATCAAGGGCGGAAAAAATTCAGAAAAATGCTGGAGGTAAAATTATGTTTCTAAAACTATATTTTAAATTTTCCATAATTTGCACCAGCACAAAATAGGTGCAATTATTTCATTCGAAGAAATATTTAATATATTATGTATTTTCAATTTCTGCATTTTTGGTCATGCATGAGTGTTCAGATATTTGAAAAATAAAGTAAATAGGCTCAGATAAAAAATAAATAAATCTTATATTTTTGCTGTTTGGATTTTGTGCATTGCAGAACAGGATCTCATTGCTTCCTTGTGCTACTACTCTCTTATTCAGCAGTAAGCACAGAATCCTGCTACTTTTGTCAGGTGCCAAAGTGTTGTTGCACGTTCCAGCCTTTTTGGGTGTGTATGTGCCATCAAATGTCTGTAGAAAAGGAGTGAGGCTTGTTGCACAACATTGCAGTTCTACTCTCATCAGTTCAATCTTCCCTTCCATCCCTATGGACACTGCTGCTATTGTTTAGAATTCCTAGCAGATAGCACAACTGACTAGCCTTATATGGGATTTGAAGTTAAGCAGAAGGAGGCTTAATAGTATAGGTACTTCTCCTTTAGCAACTGCCACAGATAACAACGGTTCACAAATATAGTACTAGTAAACAGTAATAAAAAATAATTTTCTGATCAATCCATGAATTCACAACAACAAAAGCATTCAGTGTAAAACCGATTAAGGTTTAAGCCACAACCATGAGCTGGTGGGAGATCAACTAATTAAGGTCACAAAACTGAGCCTTTTAACTTGCAGTTAGCACATTTTAGGAAAGTGCTGCATTAGAGAGAAAAGCAGATTCTTGCTCTACAAGGACGGCAAAAAAGGGGAAAAAAACCAAGCACCAGGGACAGGACATTATAAGAGAGAACTTCATTTGAATGAGATGGCAGCAACCAGCAATCTTTGCAACATCTTTCTCTCTCCCTCTCCCTCAGTCACATGGTTAACTTAGCAATTGTGTCACTTAATAATAATCTCTCTGGAAACAATTGCAGTCACTAAACAAGAACTACATGTATCTGATTGGAAGGTAACCAGTGAATTCCTTGGATGTAGTCTAGACTCAGAAGTTGAAAAAAAAAATCAGTTAACATATTTATTGCTGCCAAGAAAACTGCATGGATGTCTTCATTCTGATCCACATAGTGACCAAGGATCACATTTTATTTGAGGACGTCTTTATTTTTTAATCGAGCTTCCATACTTGATGAATGGAGCAATGGGCATCCATGAAGCTGAGGAGAGTTATACAGCTTTCTTCTTTTACCCTTTAAAATAGAGCATCAAAATTTTGGAAAGTATAAAAGCTACTTTAGAACTGCTATCGTGTCCCACATTCAAGCACTTTAAGATATAAGATGGTAAAGCTTTATAGATGTAATCCAGAGATAATATATAAATCTAGTTACTAGTACCGTAAAAACTATGAAAGTAGCAGTTCTAGTTCAAGTTCAAGTTTTAACTTGTCACCTCTGATCCATAGCATTCCATTCCCATTACAGGCTATTTGAAACATACTGGTAAAGCAGAGTTAGATAAAAGATTCAGCTATGGAATGAACAGAAAAATATTCTCATTGGCTCCTATCTATTGTAGGGATTTGGATAGGAGGTGAATTTTATCACCAAGCTGAAGGATTTCATGGCTTTTTTTTTTCCCCAAAGAGTTTTCTCTATTTTTTTTCTTTTGGGTATATTATTAAGGAAGCAATATAATATTAAGGTAAGCATTTTAAAAAGTGGCTTAATTAAACAAAGGCAATAATGCCTCAACTAATGTAATGAAGAAAGGGAATCTAAAATGAAGTGGCATCATTGTGTTCATTTGTAAATAACATATTGCAGCCAACTGCTTCTTAATTGCCCAAACAGTTGATAAATAATCCAGTCCTGCTGCTCTCCACAGACAATTTGCTTTGGATCAGACTAGGCAATTCCAATAACACTAATTACAGTGAAACTCTTTTGCAGTGAATTTTTTTTTTTGCCAGGAGGGAAGATCGAGAGTACAGGGAACTGCATATCAAGGAGAGGTTCTTTCTCTCTGATTTGTAGTTAAAACACACTCCCAACCCCCCAGAGTCTGCATGTTATGCTAAATAAAGGACGTTCTTCTATCTTGAAAGTACTTATTTTACTTTTTTTATGATACTGTTGTGAATTATGTTCATTTTGCATTGGTAATTAGAGGGTGGAACAGATGTGAGAGCTTAGTGTAAAGTGATGTATCCATTAAAATAACCTATCTTGCCAAGTGAGTGTTTGCTGTAACAGGAGATTCTTTCACTAAGAGCAGAATTCATCTTTATTGGAAGGGAACCAGGAAATGTTTTCTATATCAGGGGATTCACTATAACATGTTATCATTGTATTTATGATTTTATGATGTTAGAATGAATATTAAATGAAACAAAATTCCCAAGGATTACTCAGGAGGCAACTAAGTACATAACGTTTAGTACAGATGGTTGGAAGGCACAATTTTGCTCCATCACTGCATCCATATCCTTGAATGATTTCGACTGAAGACAGCATTTCTTTGAATTTTTCATTAAACCAGGCATCTTGAAATATGAATTCCTTTTATGTTTCTGTGAGTTTTGGTTAAAAGAACCCTGGTGAATAAATCATATAATACTATATGTCACCAGCACTTGTGAATATTTCTGCTTTGTTATTCTACTCTCAGTAGAGCACCATTGATTATCAAACTCAGCGGAGAGCATTTTATGATCATATATCTCCATTAGCTGCTGGTTTGACTACCATAGATTTTTCTGGTTAAGCCTGCATTATGTATTAGCAAGCCCATCTCTTCAATTCTAAGTTTGATTTTATTCCATCCAAACCTAAAACTCTTATTATGTATTATGTATAAAAATTCTTACCTTTTCTATGTAAAAATAGAAGTATAGTATTTGTGTAACTGAAATATATGCCATATTTTTCTCTCTACCCCTTGATTCACAGACAGCATATTTTATTATGAAGATGAATTTCTACAATGAAATGGCTGTCAGGGTAAATATTTCTTCACTTGTTAAACAAATGAAAAGTCAATTGTGCTCTGAATTTGCTTTTAATAAAATAAGCAACCCAGAATAATATATACTTGATTGATATGCTGATGTTAAAGTGAGGAAATGGTACATAGTTACAAATTTCAAGTTATGCTAAATAAACCCAAGTTGCATTTTTGAAATTTTTTGTTACATTTAAAGATACAAAATCATTGTCTTTTCTAAATATTGTGGCATTTTATCTTAGGTGGAAGAAACATTTAAATTTGTATGCATTTGCATTTAAATCCCACACTTCATTTATGATATTCAGGATTTGCTAAATAGATTTTACTGGTCTCATCCAGGCACTGAATAAATATCTGCTTAAGTTTAAAAAGTACATTTTATGATGTGACTAAAAAAACAATCTTACAGTAATGGCCTGAACTTTCTGCCATGCTCCACATTTTCCTAACTAGATTAAGAACTACAAATGTTACTATGTAATTTGGTGTGGTTCTCATTGATGCAAGATGTTCCAATAGACTTGCATAAATAGGTGCAGGCAGAAAAGAAAAACACCTGGCTAATATAATTATGGTCCTGTATCATCACATGTTCTTTAACATTGTACCTTAATTATATTTGACCTACTATTTCAAACTTATATTTGGAGCCATAAAATAATAAAGAAAACAATAATTATAATGCATAATTTTCTCTGAATCAGATTTACTTTTATAATAGTAGACTGTGATATAGTAGCCTTATTTTCATTTGGAAGATTTAAGAGTTGTTGTGAAGAAAAGTAATCCCCATTTTTTAAAAAAAATTCTGTATGAGCAGATGGCTTCTGATATATCAAGGTTTTGCCATTTGTTTAGCATTTAAAATAAACATTATTTATAAGACCACTTATATTTTGATGTTACTTAATGAGGAATATACATCATTGATTTAACTAGCTTAAGAGGTCATTCAGAACTTGCCCGTTAACAAGCTGTAATCTGCTGAGCGCACAATGACTTTGTTTAAAATTATCTGTTTGGTACTGATCAATGACAATAATTGTTTGGTACCAATCACCACAGAAACTTGTTAATTACTTTGAAGGGCATATATTTTGTAAGGGAGGGTAAATATTCACCTTGGAATTATAAGAGATACAAGTGGTGTTCTATTTTCTATGAAATGTGGATATTGGTGGGTCAGGTTATTGGGTAAAATCAGAAAAAAATGATTTGATATGTGGAGAAAAATTGTACAAGATAGGACTTTACGGTTTATGTAATATACAAATAATTGATTGACAGACTGACTGATTTGTGTATTTATGTACCATCAAGATTCCAAAATTCAAAGGCATTAATACCCTTTCTGTCATGGTATTTCAAAGTCTAATTCCTTGCATCCATGGTGTATCACAGGGGAAAAACCATTGCCTGCACACCTCTGATCTTTTTAAATATGGACATATCATGGCATCTGAATTCTTTTCCAAGGCTTTTGTTACTATCCTATCAAGTGCTAGTCTGTAGCTTATTTCTTGATTGCTGCTCCTTTACTAATGATAGTTGATCCTAAATAGCAGAAGCTATCCATCACTTTCATTATTAGAGCTTGCAAAACATTTGCATTTTCAGCTATCAGAGTAGCGTCATCAACATAGCACAGATTGCTGATCTTTCTTTCTCCCAGATTTAAAACCACCCTCTTTTTTTCCTGTTCAACCTCCCTTATTATATATTCAACATACAGGTTGAATAACCAAGGAGAGAGTGTACAGTCTAGTCTCATTTCTTTTGCTGATCTGGAGCTAGTGTTTTTCACCATGTCCTGTCTGGACTGTGGCTTCTTGCCCAGTTGTTTTACATGAATACAATAGGATGTTGTGGGATTCTCATTTTCCCATTTTCCCATTTTCCACATCTTGACATAATATACCTGAAAGCCTTTCTATTGTCAACATAATGACTTCTTTTACTATTCTTTGGCCTTCCCAATTATCCAGCATATATGAGCAACATTGTCTCTTGTTCTTTGTCCTTTTCTAAAATGACTATGACTATCTGGCATTTAACTTTCCATGTTGGATGGTGCAGTATATAAAAGATAAAGGGCATATAGAGGCCTGAATGCATTGGAAAATGAGAGACAGCACTAATATATATACCAACATGCAATATTAAAATTAGTAAATGTCAGACCTGCCCCCAAATTCCAATTGATTGAAGTGAAAAGAACTTTTACTAAAGGTGTTGGTTGCAGGAAGCTGAGGCAGAATCTGAAGTTCCCGCTCACCTATACAAAGAGCCAAATCAAATGTTCCTATCTCTCTCCCCAGTGTCTGATCCTTTGCCATCCAATCCAGGATCGTCATGACGTTGTGAGCAACTCCGGGTTGTTTAGGCTGCTGAAATTTCACACCCAAGGCAAGCGGCCTTGAAGATGCCCAGCTCTGGCCTTCTTCACATGTCAGCTCCCTCTCCCCATTTCCCACCATTAGATACACAGGTGTGGATTGCCCCAAATGCCTCCCCCTCCCTTCCCCTTTGATGTCAGGATGCCAGCAAGGCACTAGACCCACAATGGAGATCCTGACAATAAGGGTTACATAAACAGATTCCTCCCCCCAAACATACATGCTATATAATATCTATGTTTAAGGAGTAAACACTAAAGATATTATGGCAACATAATATAAGATTATACCAAACATTTTTAAAATTCAGCTGAAAATAATATCATTTATCTGTCGGTAGTCCTTGACCTACAACAATTCAGCGACCATTTGAAGTTATGGTAGTGTTGATCAATCCCCAAAGTTACAGCTGTTGTAGTCACAGGATAGCAATTCTGGCACTTGGCAACCCGCCTGCACTTACAACTGCAGGGGCGCTTCAACTTCCCCTCACACCTATCTCCACCATCTCTGGCCTTTTGGTCCCCTGTACTCTGCAGCCTCTGCAGTCCCAGCTGACTTTTTGTCATCTTCTGCTCCTGCTCCTGACCCTGCATGCCTGCCCTGACCTTTCATAAGATAGCTACTAGCCACACAAGGCTTTGTTTCCAAGGTCTTGCACTGCAGTTTCCTTGTGGGACCTGAGGAAGATGGTCTCTCACGTGGTCAGCAAAGTACCAGGATGGGCATGCCTCATCAGCAGTGAGAGCAAGAAGGCAGCAAAGGTAAGCTGGGATAGCAGAGTATACGGTGGCAGAGGTCTCGGGGTGCAGAGCTGCACATTGCACTGCTGGGCTGTGGCTTCACACTGTGCTTCCTGGGGGATTCCTGGGATAGCTGCAGCTTTGTACTGTGTTGCTGAGGTGACTGAGGCTTTGTGCTATGCTACAGTTCAAGGTTTCTTGCAGTCCTGGAGCTGTGGCAAACCAAAAACCCCCTGAGCTGCAGCATAGCAGGTAAACCTGGAGCTGGCAGTTCTGGGGCCACTTGCTTTTCCACAAGCAGGGTGCAGGGAAGCAAAAAGACAGAAATAGGCAAGTGAGGACAGTGGAAGTGGAAGAATGAGATCCAGAAATAATTAATAAGGAATTTGTATGTCCACCCAATGTTTATGACTCTGGACAGTGTTCATCCATCAAAATCAAATGAAAATCATAGAGTTGAAAGGGACCCAGGAGGTCATCAAGTCCAATCCAATGCACACTGCAAAAATCATTACACCAGGCCCGATAGCTGACTATCCAACTTATGATGCAGGAGAGTAAATCTCTTGGTGAAAGAGATAAAAAGGAGTGTGCCAGTCTTCAGTCAATTGCACCCATCCAGTTAGAACCTCCAAACTAACTGAAGATTTTGTATAGTTATGCTAATAATCAAACCAATATTTAGACTATTAGAATAAATTAAATGGGATGCATTCTACAAAGGATATTAATTACTTCTACCGTATGTATGTTTGCCAGTTCATTCTTATCTGCAACACCAATCTTACTTATGCTCAGGGCTGGGAAGGGACCAAGGCCAGAATGGGCTTTTTTAATTACTAATTTCCAGATATTTGCCAATTACAATGGTAAAATGTAGCTATTTGGGAAAGTAGTTTGTCAAACATTTTATTTAAAATTAGAACAACATTCTAGATGAATGGCTAGCTCATTTTAAACTGGACCAGAGGTTGAAGAATATCCATGTTTTGCTCATAGCAAATTCTTCTAAGCTTATTGACACTCCATTTTTTCTTTTTAAAAAGAATGATTTGCTTTTTATAATTATTTTGAAACAAGATGGGAGAAGAGAGAGAAGAGATCCCCTTTTACTGAACTCCTTAAGTAATTTACTTCTTCTAGGTGGCTTCATTGTTTTACGTGGTTTTCTAATTGGTTCTTACCCTTCTGAACTGATTTATATATTATTTGTCTTGGTATCAAATATATGTCGTATATTTTAATTTTTTGTACTGATTTTTAACAGTCACTGTGTGCTTTTAATAGAAAAGCAGGATGAACATATCTTAAATTACTAAATTAATATGAAGACATACGAGTGAAAAAAATATTTTTATATACCAGCTTAGGTCATTCTTCATTCCCCAGAATAGTTCTGGCAATTTCTTAATTACCCAAGCTCAGTTTTTTTATAGCTTTTCTAGTTTAGTGAACAATAAAATTTGGGCAAAGTCAGAAATGTTATTGTTATTCCCAGGAATTTTAATATTTTATTTATTTATTACAACTTTTGAATATAGAGTTAATTTCATCAGAAGTTCCATAGCACTTAAACAATTTTGGGAGCACTTTATTGAATAGCACAGTTTTTACTGAAGAAGTTTGAAGGAGCAAAGGTACAAGCAGTGTCTTATAGCTAAGTATCTTGATACGCCTCCACCTTCTGAAAAGCTACTAGCCTGAAGGTGGTAGATAAGTAAGTTTTATATAGTGTAAAGGCAAATCCTGATTCATAACATATTTGATAGGATCTCTTATCAGTATTTTCATTCTACTAAGGTGGAAATGACATTTTTTTTCCTGGGGAAGGACTACAGGAACAGACTTCCACTTCTCACAATCTGTTCAAAAGATTCTAATTAGGTTATGATGTTATAAAAAGTGATGGATGGTGAAGCAGATACTTTAATTAAAAGTCTTATGATTCTTAACAGTTGAACAAGTGGATTTCTGTGTGATATACCAATATTGTTATAATATGATACTTTAAAATATAAAATAATAAATAAGTGAACTGCCCATTTGTTTACTACATGTAGTTAGTTATCTTTCTCAACTTTGATTTCACTTATTTAGTGTAATGTTTATGATTTATCTTAACAGTATTATTAATAGCAAGTAGCCAAGTAATTATGTATTTATATCAGTATAATAATTTTAGGGAGTTTTGTATTCCTAAAATTAATGAAAAGGCAAATATGTATGCATGCAGTTGTGCTCCTTGCAGAATAAAATATTTCTTATAATGTTTGGCAGTTATTTCTCTATTGCAAAGAAACCAACTCTCAATGAAGCAAATATATGTACTCTTTTTTCCCTAGATTCAAAAAAGATGGCGAGGCTACTACGTCCGAAAATATATCCATAATTATTATGCGCTAAAGAAGTACTTGGAAGTTGTTGCATTGAATAATGAGATGGTCAGGTAAAAATGAAAGTACCGAGTAGTAAAATAGATATTTTTAAATGGTAATATTAAAAAAGGTTTAAATAATTCATAGTGCTAATTAGGCTATTCATCATAGAAAGAATTGCCTTTTTCATCCCAGTACGAAAACTGGTCTGTTTTATCTTCAACCTAAGTGTGTGTTTTCAAATTATTATTTCATTTATACCACTATGCAGGTAAGTATGATACAATTGAACCTATCTAAATTGGAGCAAAACTGAAATGCATTAACGAGAGAATTTCTCTCCATAGAAAGTTTCGTGGAACTCCTGAGCAGGTGAATCTGCAGAATAATGCAGTACTATTAAAAGTTTGCTATTTTAACCTTTTTGTGAGGTTACACAATTCTGAGCAAAGGATAAGGCAAGTACTATAAGGTTATGGTAATTCTGTGCTGCATCAGTACTATCTTACAGTAGGTAGAGCTGCCAGGTTTAAACAAGGAATACATATTGTCATCTGCTCTACTGAGAAAACCTGCCTTGAGTGGGCCAGCCCAAGATTAGTCTAATCCCTATTCCTCCAAGGTATTTAGCTATCGATTTAAAATCAATTTTTCAAATTCCATCCCTTTTATTTCTCGGGCTTTATTTTGCTTTTTAGGCTATAGGACTAAATCCCGAGATAGCATCTGTATCTTTATTTATCACTAGGTGTGTTTTTTTTCTTATTCTAATGTTAAAATAATGGGAGAAGCCTTATTTGGCAGATATTTTTTCTTTTAAGCAACTCTGGGAGATGGCTTACATTTACTTTAACCTTCTGGAAGTAGTTTTTGTTCAGATGAAATATTATGCTGTGTTGCAATATTTTGTTATTGTAGTGATAATAACATTTTGCCTGGTTTAACATTCACTATTACTACAAATAATAAACATGTAGTTAGAAACTTAATGGCATTTGGAAACATATAATTGATGATATATGTTATGTTATAGGTGAGATCAGAAAGCTAGATGTCTGGAAAGGCCATTTTGTCATTATATTTATGTAACACATATATAGAATAATGTTTTCATAGGGATACTGTGCCTCTCACAAAGATAAATTGGTTTGATTAATTTAAAGGCTGAGTATGCATTTGCTAGAGGTGTACACTTGTAACCTATCACTTCATATGCAAAAACTGCCCCAGGTTATGAATGAGAAAATGATTTCATGAAATTAAAAACTAGTCTCATAGATAGAGATAGGCAGCATTCAGAAAATATTATGACACTCATAAAAGGATTTTTTTCCCAGTACACTTAGATTTCCTTTTACTTTTCATATACACGGTGGCTTTAATTATTATTTAATGTTTTGCTGGATTAAAGGTATGCAATCAACTGAAAAAAATATTAATTCATTAGAATCTGTTAGCCACTAGCTTTTTGCTATGACTTGTAGCATTAAGCTTAATCATCATCATCATCATCATCATCATCATCATCATCATCATCATCAGTCTGAATATCTGGCTGACTGTGCAATGATCATAATAATAATAATAACTTTATTGTCACTTTGAATGTACACCAATTGGCATACATCAAAATGAAATTTCGTTGCATACAGCTCTCAAAGGGTCACCACCTCCAATATACACTCCTTGTTCATGGCCAGCTCAAGTTACAGATCTTCCATTTCAGTCTCTAGGGAGCGAACGATGGCAAACAAGACAACCTCGCCTCCTTTCCTTTTTCTGATCTTGTCTCTTCCACCTTTTCCTTAGAGGGGCCTCACTCCTTTTTGCCCCTGGAGAACGCTGCTGCCGCCGCCACCAACTCCTCCAAAAGCCTCTCTCCCATCCTCTGGGCCTGCCGACAGTCTCATCCAGTTCCATCCATTCGAAATAGGGTTACACTGAAGACCACTGGATCAGGCTAGAAATTATGAGACAAACATGAGATTCTCAACTGTATTGGTCTCATAACATGACTGTAGGAGTATTCAGAATTTGCAGAGAAAAATTAAATGGAGGAGATGCTTGTGCTTTGCTCACTCGTCAACTTTCCCTTTAAAATCCTTTCCAAACTGTTCAAACTGTACTCAGGCTGCTTGAGATGTAGAATTCACACAGTTGTAAGAAGAATAACGGGGAGTATATTTATAAGAGAAAATCCCTGGACAGTACCAGCAACGTATGGTCCCTTCCATGAAATGTTTCTGTAGTAGGTAGAGTTTTAGTTTTATTAGCATTAGCATTGATGTGTGGGTTTTTATAAATAATTTTATTAAAATTACAATTGGAAAAGTAAAAACTAATATGAACTGCAAAAAAATATAAAAATGAAAAGTGCAGGAAAAATGAGAAAAGGGAGTAAAAAGGAAAATAGAACAAAAAAAGAATAAAGTAACTTCTCCCTTTATCACAAGTAAATATTTATTAAATTAACACCATCTCTTAAGATAGAACAGATGCAGTATTTGCCCACCATCCATATATGAAGTTAGATATTCTTAAAATTAATTTCAGCATCAGCTGGTAAAAATATTTTGTTCCTTTTTGTATTAATGTGTCTAATCTGAGTGTTGTTTTCCTTTAAGTAATCTTTCATTTCCTTGGTTTCTACCACTGACAACATTCAAACACTTCTTATCCTGTTATTTTTCCAGCAAACCCAAAAACTCAGAGTTTTCCATGGGAAGGATTATGATATTTAATTACAAATTCTCATTTCAAAACCATCTAGACCCTTAGTCCATTTTTAACAGTCACTTTGAATCCCTTTTCACTGTTTATTAAAAACAATAGTATTTTTCAACATTTTAAAGTAATGTGTTAAACTTTCTCAAACTTAAAGGAAACTTGCCCATTGAATACAATTAAAAACTTGCCATTCCAAAGTTTCTTAATACTAAAAAATAATTCCAAAATTGGAAGAGATAAGATTTGATCAAGCTTTTGATTCATTAAAAAAAAAAGCTGGTTTACCCCTATGAGTAGCTAAGATGGTATTCTTGACTCCCAGCTACTCAACTCAGAAGCCAATTGCAAAACCTTTCTCCCTGCGATCTACTCATAAGCAGACATAGAGAGTAAACAAGTTATCTCACATTCTCTCCTTCCAGAGAGATGTTGCTGGTCCAGTTTCTGCATCCAGCCATCCTGGATTCTGTAGACACCATCCTGTTCAAAAAGGGATGTCTAGCTCACTATGAATCCTCACTGGAGGCCCCACATTAGCATTGACCTATTATTGATCTGTTCAATAAGTGAGCATCTTTGGATGGTTTAGAATGTGATTTGCAACAATAAAAAGAACAAAAAATAAAAATAGTCAATAAATAACACAGTAATATAAAAACTCATAACATACAGAGTCCTAATAGAATACAGGACAAAAAAAATCAGAACTAACCCTAACCCTAGCAAAAGATAAACTGTTTCTAATGAATTGTTGGTAACGTTATTGCTATTTTCAAGTATAAATAGTCCTCAACTTACTACCACAATTGAACCCAAAATTTCTGTTGCTGAGCAAGACAGTTAAGTGAATTTTGCCTCATTTTACAACCTTTCTTGCTATACTTGTTAAGTGAATCATTGCAGTTGTTAAGTTAATAACACGGATGTTGTGAATCTGGCTTCCCCATTGGCTTTGCTTGTCAGAAGATAATCACATGAGCCCAGGGCACTTAAATTGTCATAAATACGAATCAGTTGCCAGGCATCCTAATTTTAATCATGACCACGAGAATGCTGCAACTATCTTAAGTGTGAAAAACCATCATAAATTACTTTGTTCAATGTAACTTTGAGTGGTCGCTAAACAAACTGTTTCAAGTCAAGGACTACCTGTAATATGTAGGACCTTCCCACTGAGAATTATTAGGAGCTTGTAGTCTGGACAGTAGGTGTATGTTGTGGTGGCCCAGGAATATTAAATGTTTCAGACAATTTAGAAACAGCTTGTATGTACTCCATTTGATTATGAGGAAATATTTTGACAGGACTTGGATAACTACTATGGGCATTTTGTATCAAGTATAGAATTTGCAGTCAGGAGCAGAGATTAAATACAGTAGTCCTTGCTAAATGACCATTTGTTTAGTGACCATTTGAAATTACAGTGGCTGAATGAACCTATGCCCAAAGTTACAGCTGTTGCAGTGCACCTGCAATCATGTGATTGTGATTTGAGTGATTGGCAACCTGTTTGCACTTACACTGGGTTGCCAAGCACCCTGCTGTCGTTTGAATACCATTTACAATCTTCACTCCTGGTTTCTCCAGAAAGTTAATAGCCAAAAGCTGCCTGGCAGATTGATTCAACCCCACTTGGTACTGAGTCCCAATGCCAAGCAGTTCTTCTGCCTTCAAAGAGGCTGACTGAAAATGTCCTTCAATGCATGGAATCTGGGGGAATTCCTGAATGAAACATGGATTCCAAAGGCCAAGCCCCAGTCCGCCCACCCAGGGAAGGAGTTTTCTTCTGCACTTGGAGAAAAAGAGCTGCCTGCTCTCCTTCAGCTGCTCTTTTGCTCCATTCAGTTAACAACCGCAACTGGGAGAGCTGGGATTGTGGTCATTGAGTGAAGTGGCTATGTGGGTGTTTTACTTAATGACCACAACAAACTTTCAACTGAAATTCTAGGCTCAGTTGTGGTTGTTATGAGAGGACTACTGAATCTAGTCAGATGATTAGTAAC